TGTCTTCCTGGGCTAGGCTGTGGCCTGGGCACTCACCACCTGGCTTAGATACCTTCTTAAGGGCGGGTCTGCAGGTCCCTCTAGTAGGTCTGCCTGCCTGGGCCACCCTTCTGGTACTTCCTTTGGCATGCCTGGGCCAGCCCCCAACACCTGACGTCCCCTCCTGGGATCAGGTGTGGGCCTGCGACCCACCCACCTTGCCTGCCTGCCCAATTCCAGGACACTCCCCACTCTGCCCAGGCCTTGAGCATCCACATTAAATGGGTCTCCAACATCACTGTGCCTCTCCTCTGTATCCTGGGGTGAGGACCCCACTGGCCACTAGCGGTGAACAGGTCAGTGGAGGCATTCCAGGCACTGATCATACACTGATGGCTCACGGGCCTGCTGGTAGGCCTGGGGTTCTTGGCTTTCTTGTATTTCTGGACACAGAGGGTACAGGTGAAGCAGGGCTTCCTCCCCACCTGGTGCACTCCTGGCCAGCAGCTGCCTCCTCAGCCCAGCCCATCAGACACGCTGTGTGACCCAATGTGATACACTCAGCTTCTCTGGGTACTAGGGTCTTTCACGCAGCCAGCCAACAGCAATTCATGCTGTGTAACCTTGGCCATCATCCTCTTGCTCCTGGCCTCAGTCTTCTCCACTGGCCAATAACAGGGTTGGTCTGGCTGTCTATCTCTAAGGGTCATTCCAAATGGGGAAATAGCCCATGGAAAGAGCCAGCTCAGCCTCGGCCCCATTCACAGATGATTCATCTTAGGGTCACCTGACAAGGGAGGGGACCAGAGGAGCAGGGAGGGTCCCCACTCCTGCACTTAAGCTCCCACAGGGTTCAGGTGGACAGAAAGGCCAGCACAGAGCCAGAGCTCAGGCCCAGGACCAGTTGTGTGGCCTTCAGCAAGTCACTTGACCTTGCTAGGCCTCTTCACCTTTTCTTCACTTATAATTTGGAGATAACAAGAAGACCTGCCCCCTAGGGTCCAGACTCTGAAGGCTGAGGCAGATCTAAGTTGAAGGTGTTTTCCCTAGCCCTGACCACCTCATCAAGAGGGAAGCAGACCCTGGGGGAGGTGAAGTGCCTTGTGACCTCAGAGTCCCTGGTTAGGGAGCCCATCTTTGGCCTTCCAGCTCGGCCACCACACCGTGCCCAAAGAGGGTAGGTTCTGGCTGAGAGCTGGCAAGGTTGCCCCCTCACCCTGTCCACCCAGACAGAAAGGCTGGTGGGCCCTGTACAGCCAAACTACCTTCTTTTATTAGATTTTCAGTAAAAACACCAACCATGTCAAAATTTCCACACAGACTTCTAAAAAGCAAAGCAGACCTAGACCCAGACGGGATGGGCATGAGGAGCTCCCTCTATCAGGTTTTGAGGCGGGTTGAACGCCGGGGAAGTGGGGGAGGAGGGGGTTGGGCTGTCACCTTGCTGGGGGTTTTAGCTGTGTCCTGGGTGCTGGGCTGGGTGGGCGCGCGGCCACCAGAAGTGAACAAAGCAGTCAGGGCGTTCCGGGCGTTGATTGCACACCGGCGGCTCACGGGCCTGCTGGTAGGGCTGGGGTTCTTGGCCTTCTTGTATTTCTGGACACAGAGGGTGCAGATGAGGCAGGGCTGCCTCCCCACTAGGTACGCTCCCTGCCAGCGGCTGCCTCCCCAGCCCGGCTGACGCTGCAGCGGACACACTGTGTGATGCTAGGGGATGTCCTCAGCCTCCCCGTGCCAGAGCTCTGGAGCTAACAGCCTGGCCCTCGGCATCGCCCCCGCGCCCCCCCCACCCCGTCCCCCACCAGGACAGTAGAAAGAGCTGGGCACTACCCCTGTTCTGATTCCCTCTGTGGGCAGGGCCTTCTGTTGGGGGGTTGTGCCCCAGGGCTGAGGCCTTACCCATCAGCCAGGGCGGGTGGGGCAGGAAGCCTGGCTCACCTGCAGGTTCTCGAAGTGGGCCAAGGACTTGCAGTGGGAGAGCTGTGCCCCCGAGTTGCTGTGGTAGAACTTGTGGCAGATGCGGCAAATGTACCCCATCACGGGCACCAGGAAGTCCACACCTGTAGGACGGCAGCATCTGTGCACTCGTCCCTCCAGGCCAACCCGTGTCCCGCCCTCCCTAGGGGCCCATTTGCTCACCCAGCCTCTGAGTGGGACGAGGGGAGGCGGGGTCAGGGCTTGGGTCTTACCGTATGCAGTACTGGGGCTATAGGTCTCTGAGCCTTTCCACTCCTCTATGGATATATCTCTGGACCTCACCTGGAAATAGGCAAGTGTGGGCCTCAGTTCTGACTTCCCTGAGCTCTTCGACACCACTCCCTTGATACCCAGGAGGATGATCCCCAGGAGGTTGTGGGTGGCATTCTCTGAGCCTTTGCACATGCCTATCCTGCCAGAGTGCCCTTCCCGACCTATACTTTTTTGGGTTCAGCTCCATCAGCCCCCTCCTCCAGGAAGCCCTCCATAATCCATGCCAGGTGTGCCCGACACATCACAAGTGTCATCTCTGAACTCCGTAACAACCTTCTACACTTCGCTCATTTTACAGAAGAGGAAACAGGTCCAGGCACAGTAACTCACTGGCCCAGGGTTTACGGAGGAGCAGCGGATTTAACCCTGGTGGGCCCCAGGCCCTCGTGACATTTCTAACCACGAGCCCCCTGCCAGCTCCCTGAATTCCTATCTGATGTTGCAGTGACCTGCTCAGGTGACTAAGGACCCCTCCTCCTACCTACCAGACATGAGCCCCTTCCAGACGGGGCCATCTGATTCCAGCCACAGCAGCCCATGCTTAGTAGCGCCCTCCTCCACTTACCAAGCAAACAAATGTGCCTTCCAGGAGTGACAACCACTCCCATTTGCCACCCCCGCCTCAGGCCGGCTTCGGCCCTTCCTTAGAGCCTGAGTTGGGACTCTTAGTTCTAAGCAGAGGAAAG